TATAGTCACCTATTATGTGTTATGATCCGACAACCCCGAAGTGACAATAATCGGGATACTTCTCGGTGATGACCATAGTTTGAGGAGTTCGTGTATTCACTATGTGCTAATGCTTTGTTCTGGTTCTCTATTAAAAGGAGGCCTTAATATCCCTTAGTTTCCGCTAGGACCCCGCTGCCACGGGAGGGTAGGACAAAAGGTGTCATGCAAGTTCTTTTCCATAAGCACGTATGACTATTTACGGAATACATGCCTGCATTACATTGATGAACTGGAGCTAGTTCTGTGTCACCCTATGTTATAGCAATTACATGAGGAATCGCATCCGATATAATTATCCATCACTGATCCATTGCCTACGAGCTTTTCACATATTGTTCTTTGCTTATTTACTTTTTTGTTGCTATTGTTACAATCACTACAAAACCCAAAAACATTACTTTTGCTACCGTTACCTTTATTATCATATTACTTTGCTACTAAATACTTTGCTGCAGATACTAAGTTATCCAGGTGTGGTTGAATTGACAACTCAACTGCTAATAGTCAAGAATATTCTTTGGCTCCCCTTGTGTCGAATCAATAAATTTGGGTTGAATACTTTACCCTCGAAAGTTGTTGCGATCCCCTACACTTGTGGGTTATCACTTATCATGCCATTGCTTAGGTGCTTGCTTTAGGCCATATAAAGATTTCAGCAACCTACACACCTTTCTTTCCTGACCATCTATCACAAAGCCATCTGGCTGTTGCATGTGGATTTCCTTGTTTAGCTCTCCATTCAAAAAAGCCATCTTAACATCCATTTGGTGGACGAGAAGACCGTGTGAGGCTGCCAACGAGAGTAATACTCGAATGCTGGTCAGTCTAGCCACATGTGAATAAGTATCAAAGAAATCTTCCTCTTCTTTCTGGTCATAGCCCTTGGCCGCAAGCCTAGCCTTGTACTTTTCAATCGTACCATCGGGCCTAAACTTCTTCTTGAACACCCACTTACATCCCAATGGTTTGCAACCATAGGGACGCTCAGTGATCTCCCATGTCCCATTAGCCATGATGGAATCCATCTCGCTACGGACCGCATCCTTCCAGTAGTCAGCTTCTGGAGAGGCATGCGCTTCTGAAATAGAAGTGGGAGTATCATCCACGAGGTACGCGAAGAAATCATCACCAAAGGTCTTTGCAGTCCTTTGTCTCTTGTCCCTACCAAGGGTTTCCTCATCATCCTCCTCAGGATTTTCATCATATGTTCGTTCATAATATTCCATAGGAATGGCAGGCTCAGGAGTCTCCTCAGATTCCCATCTAGAAGTGCTTTGCATATCTCTCATAGGAAAAATATCCTCAAAGAATGTAGCATCCTTAGACTCCATAATTGTACCGACCTTCTGGTCAGGTACCTCAGAATTCAATACTAGAAATCTATAGCCAACGCTATTCTTAGCGTAGCCCAAATTAACGCAGTCCACGGTCTTGGGTCCAAGCTTACGCTTTTTGGGGATCGGCACGTTGACTTTCGCCAAATAGCCCCAAGTACGCAAGTACGAGAGTGTTGTCCTTCTCTTTGCCCATTTCTCATAGGGAGTGATCTCATTATCCTTTGTCGGAACTTTATTCAAGACATGGCATGCCGTGAATATAGCCTTCCCCCACCATGCCTTGGATAAACCCGATGTATCTAACATGGCGTTAACCAGATCAGTTAGAGTACGGTTTTTCCGCTTGGCAACCCCGTTTGACTGGGGAGAATAGGGAGGCGTCCTCTCATGAATAATGTTGTGTTCCGCACAAAAGGAATCAAACTCACTCGAGAAGTACTCTCCACCACGATCTGACCGGACTCGTTTATTTTTCTTTTCAAGTTGATTCTCAACTTCTACCTTATAGATTTTAAAGTAGTGTAGAGCCTCATCTTTAGTATTTAACAGATATACATAGCAATATCTAGTGGAATCATCTATCAATGTCATGAAGTATTTCTTTCCACCTTTAGTCAACACGCCATTCATCTCACAAAGATCAGAATGTATGAGTTCTAATGATGCCAAGTGTCTCTCCTCCGGAGCCTTGTGAGGCTGGCGAGGTTGCTTAGCTTGCACACATGAAAGTCACTTAGAACCTTTGGCTAAAGTGAAACTCGGGATTAAATCCAACTTAGCTAGCCGCGTCATAACACCAAAACTTATGTGACAAAGACGTGAATGCCAAACTTCAGATTCATTAACACTCGAATGAATATGGTTCACGACTTTATTATAGAAATCTGCGAGGGAAAGGAGGAACATCCCTCCACTTTCATAACCTTTTCCAACAAATAGTCCATACTTAGTAACAACTAATTTATTAGACTCGAATACCAACTTAAACCCTTCTCTACATAGAAGGGAGCCACTAACGAGGTTCTTCTTGATGGCGGGGACATGCTGCACGTTCTTCAGCTGCACGATCCTTCCCGAAGTAAACTTCAGATCGACCGTGCCAACACCATGAACAGAAGCACTCGCGCCATTCCCCATCAATATGGACCCGTGGCCTGTGACCTGGTAAGAAGAGAACAATAAAATATCAGCACACACATGAACACCTGCACCTGTATCCACCCACCAATCGGTAGACTGAAACACTGAAAAAACAGTAAATATATTACCGTACCCAGATGCACCATTCTCATTGTTGCCCACAATCATGTTGACGGACTTGGAGTCCTGTCCTGACTTCTTAAACTTTTTTGGGCACTTTTGTTGGCCCAATGTTCAACCGAACCACAAGTAAAGCAGCCCTCATCCTTCTTGTTCTTCTTGAAGGTCTTCTTACCCTTCTTCTTGAAGTCGGTATTCTGTTGGACACCGTTCTTTCCCTTGAACTTGTGGGAGTTGAAGTTCCTCTGGTTCACCATGTTGGCAACAGAAGTCCCTTCAACCCCTTTTCCGTGCGAGTCCTTTGCCCTGGAATTCTGCTCAACACTCAGATGGCCAATGACATCCTCCACAGAGAATTCACGCCTCTGATGTTTCAGAGTGGTGGCAAAGTTCCTCTAGGAATTCGGGAGCTTAGCGATTATGCAGCCCGCGACAAACTTGCCCGGTAACTCGCACTTCAGAAGCTCAAGCTCCTTATCAATGCATATTATCTCATGAGCCTGCTCCAGTACAAGACGGTTCTCAACCATCTTGTAATCGTGGAACTGCTATATAATATATATCTCGCTCCCTGCATCAGCGGCCCCGAACTTAGATTCGAGCACCTCCCACAAGTCCTTGGCGACATGCACATGTAAATATGCGTCGACCAATTTATCTCCAATCACGCTAAGAGCTGCTCCGAGAAACACGGTGGTTGCCTCCCTGAACGCCTTCTTCTGTTCAGGAGCAATCGTTCCCGTGGACACACCGGTGAGCCAGAACACGTTCATAGCCGTGAGCCATAAAGTGGTCTTTGTCTACCAACGCTTAAAATACGTACCGGTAAACTTATCCGGCTTCAGTGCTGCGGCAAAGCCACTTGTCGAAAAAATCGTACACATAATAGGTTTTTGGATTTCTAAGTAAATAGGCAATTTTTTGATTAATTTAATCCACGAGTATATAACTAGCATAGCATTGACATAAATAAACGCATACTGATATTCAGTCAAGCAAGCACATACTACGCTAATTGCACAAATATCTACGTATAACGCTAGCATGGCTAAAACAGAAAACGGTAGGAGCAGGATAAACGAGTTATACCCTACAGTAGGCCATACAGAGGCCGCGGCGGCAGCAGCGTCCTCGGCGGGCTTCTTGTCAGCTTCAAGTTTCTCGGCAGCGAGACGGTCGGGGTCGGACTGCGACATGGTGATGATGAAGATGCGCGGACGTAGAGGAAGTAGACGAACAGCGAGCAGTCGCGTAGTCGCTTCCCAAAAACCTAATCGCCTCTCTCTCGTACAGGAACCTGAGAGACGGGGTTTCGGAGACCTTCTCTCCCGTCGACGGACGGGATGGAGTCACTGGCGGCAGCAACAACAAAGGAACGACGATAGGCGGTTCGTGTGGAACAGATGTGATTTGATCGTGGCGCTAGGGTTAGGAGACACCGTACACTTATATAGGCGCAGCCGCGTCCCACGCCCGAGTCCGTGACAGCACACGTGGTGTGGCGTGGCGGGCGGAGGAGGAGGAGCGGGCGAGGGCCTATTCTCTTCTCAAGCTCCAATAGCATGTAGAAGAGCAACCCTTATAAGGAGGTCCGACTCCTCTTCCACTTCCGGGGTGGGACTAAACTTCCCACCTCCACCTAGTGCCAATAACCAACATGGGCCCTTAGAGAAATTGCTATATGGGCTTAAGGCCCATCTAAAATTTCAGCAATATGTGCGCCTAATGCAATGTGGGCAACCAAACGCCGAGTCAAAAAAATGATTGTCTCATGCAACTAGGTACATACATGCAGGCAACCAAAATATGTGCATCTGGGTTTTTTTGCCTGCATCCCTCGAACCGACCTTGGCAATGTAACCAAACACGCCTTTCCATGAAGCAGGAGCCACAAGCGTCCACTGTACACATGGATGGATGCATTCTCAGTGCTCAGAGTCACAGAGGAGAGATGGTTCACCACGTGCCATCCCATCCCATCCCATCCCATCTCTGCTACGCTGCCCTTCCGTGGATCTTCTCTCCTCCGTGTCCCTTTAATCTCCTCCGTCTACTGTAATATTCTGGAGTAATTACTGTACAGTACTTGACAGCTACCTAAAATAAAAAATGAAATACTCACCACGGTTGTTCACGCTCCAGTCCAGTGGAAGAAGCATCCAATGATCCACCCATGGCCATGGCGTAAATAAAATAAAAGCATCAACTTTACCTGCACTCTGTGTCTGTCTGTGCCACTGCTCACTCCCCACCTTCACTTCACTGTCTCAGTCTCAGTACCGAGCTCCGGCCGCGAGCAACTAAAATACTCCTCCCTCCCTCCAATCCCTCCTCTGGAGTCAACTCACAGACACTAGCTAGATGGATCGGCACGGGCACGGGCAGCAGCAGCACCGGCTGGTGACGGTGCCGATGCCGCGGGAGGGGGATGCGGCTTCCTCTTCCTCCTACGCGGGAGGGGGCGTGGTGGCGCGGGAGGCGGCGGCGCAGGCGCTGGGGGCGGTGGTGCAGCTGCACTTCGACAAGACGGTGGAGAAGAAGCGCAGCGCCGACGCGCAGAAGCAGGAGCTCTGGCGCCTCTTCCTCGCCTTCTTCCTCTTCCTCGCGCTCGTCCTCTCCTCCGTCGCCGGCGGGGGCCGCCTCCAGTGCCGCCACCTCTGGGCCCCCGCGGGCCTCCTCTCCCTAGCCCACCTCGCCTTCTACGCCGCCGTCGCGCACCACCTCCGATGCCTCAACGGCTTCAGGTCCTTTGTTCATTCCTTTTCCTTCTTTCTTGTGCTACAATCGATTTCGATTCGATCTGGTTGAGTAACAATGAACTGCATATGTAGGTACCAGCGGCGGTGCCACAAGCTGACGCTGGCGCTGGCGGCGGACCGGCTGCGGATGCTCAAGTCGGCGGGGGAGGTGGTGGCGGCCGCCGACGTGGAGGTGCCCTACCAGGAGCCACACGAGACCTACCTCGCCAAGTTCAAGCGCAGCTGGGCCATCCACTTCGCCTTCCTCATCGCCACCTTCGCCTTCTCCGTCGCCGCCGCCGTCGCAGTCCTCTGCTTCTAGCCCCACCCCTACCCCTAGCCTAGCTACCACCATTACCTCCTCCTCCTCCTCTCTGCTTCTTCTTCTTCTTCTTCTTCTTCAGGATTAGTAACATCGCATCGATTGTGCTGTGTTCCACCATTAGCAAGCAGCACCAAAGAATGTCCTACAGCAGCACAAGAGTGAGATCTGCTTGCTTGCCTGCCTGCCAACATTCATTAATGTCAAAGATCTTCGTTGGTGTCATGCTCATGATGGCGACCAACTCTGCTTTGCTTTCACTCTGGCCTAATCATCAATCAATTCATCATAACGCAACTGTCCATCTCAATCACATCGCATCACACATGCACTAGCAGTCTAGCAGTATAATGTGCAACTATCTGAGATCTTATCTACTCAAAATGTAGTACACTACAGTAGGATAAGAATCACATCTAAGAGTACTAACAAGGAAGCCTTCATCTCGCTGCTTAATTGTTGCATTCAGACAAGTTCCTTTTATTCCCCCTGTCGAAACCAAGATATGAGATGAAATGAAATAACCATCATTGTTGTTACAGCTTGCAATGGCACGCAAATATGATTGTGCTTCTACATGTTACAACATAATCTCCTTCCATGCTGTTGGGAGCTTGGCTCTGTTGGCTCAAATCTCTAGTGAAAGAAAATGAATACTGAAGAAAGGAACAAACAACAGATGCGGGGAAGAGAGCTCTAGTTCCAGTTCAGGAGCCCCAACTCCCTGCAAGAGATGGAACGGAACGGTTTTCTTGCCAAATTCACGCGCTCGAGGGAGGTGCTGATAGCGTTCACAGGCTTCAGAACACCACGCGTGGAGGAAGAGGGTTATCACGCGGCCTTGAGGACGGCGCAGAGCGAGTTGTATGCATTGACGCACAGCTTGAACTTCTCCTCGGCTACAGCCTGTGCACAACACAAATGCAGGGAATGGACATGTCCTCTGTTAGCATATGTGTTTTCGCAAGTTGATAGGTGACCAACACTGAACTAGTGTTGCATCTGTTGTCGGTTCAACTTTGAAACCACCTCAGAGTCGGTCGGTTACCTGTGAAGAGCCCGGGTGCTTGTCAGGGTGCCACCTCAGAGCAGACGCGCGGAAGCTGCACAGAGTAAATCAGGTAAACACCAGCGGAGTGAGTGGTAAGCAACATTTTGCAACGGTGGCAGAGACAAACAACAATTTGAGGAGGCAGGACGAAACGGAATCTCACGCTGTTTTGACATCATCTAGGGTTAGTGGACCACGAGGTGGCAATCCAAGGGTGACCCTGTGCGCATGTGAGCCAACGCCGGCTGTCTCACCCGTGTCGTCGTCGTCGCTTTCGTCTTCGCTCTCGCTTTCAACTCTTTGTCTTCGTGATTCACCAGCCCGTCTGAATCCAAACGATGAAGCCCTGAAGTGAAAACCCTCCCATGAAGCATGGGACCAGGTAAAACTCTGGTGATGCTCGCCAAAGATGGTCTCAAAAATATTTTCAGGATTCACATAACGGGTTTCGTAGAAAAAGTTGTAGAACTTCGCCTTGTCCTTTTTGTCTACAAAAAAAGAACATCCTCGTCAAAATTTCATAGTATTACGATGTGATAGCTACTTCAATGAAGTGATCTGGATGGCCAGCATCACAGATCCATGCTATATATAATCCATGAAAGTTCAACAAAACACTGTCATTAAGCCAGCACAAACACTGCCATCAGAAAGGATCAGAATTCATATAGTTGAGTTGTAGGCTGTACAAGTTTTGTTTGCCCTCGGAACTCCTCCATGTAAATAAATCATATCCTCAGATGGAACTATGTAAGATATGCAGAAAAGGCAATAGCAGACCATGAAACGCTAGATAACCACATGGATATTCCCAAGGCAGCAGAGCAAAACATGGACCTACTGTGCTAAGATAGAACCATACCCTTTCTTTGATGGTGTACTCCTTGTCGAGGTTTTGTTGAACTGTGATCCTGTTTTTTTCTGAACGTTTTGAATCGTGGAATATCATGCGAATTAGCAAAGCTGCCCATACTTCCATCCTAGAGGAATACAAGTGCACTGTAGGCTTCAGGTACACAAGCAATAATAAATGGATGGTGTGTGTTTTCTGCCAACTCTTATGCTTGCAGAAATAAACTTTTGCCTTAGTTATCCCAGTCGAGGAAGGATAAGAATGTTCAAATGACGACTCGAATAGAAATTTCACCTCTATATGAGGTGTTGACTTTCCATACAGAAGGTAATTTTGCAGGGCCTTCTTTCCTTCTGCTCGTTTTTGACGAACAACGTATCGCTCATATTTCTGTTGAAGAGCTAGTACCCATTAGAACTATCTCAAAAATCACAATTGTCGAATGCTACCTAAGTACCTAACCAAGGTAAGGCAGCTACTAAATAAAGCATCAAGTACAAACCTATAACTGTTTTCTTTCTGCGTGATGAATTGACTCATTGAGTTTGCTTTGGCTACTAAACACATGGCAATGAAAAAATTGCATAACACTGCTAGAGGTGCTCAATTACATTCTGACAGATCAAATTCTGGTATCTAGCTATAAATAAAACCTTATATGCTACCAAGTTTCTAGAAAACCATTACCAAGAGCTCTATGCAATTGTATGAGAATGCAAGCACCCTGAGGAAAATATCAAATAAAATGCACTTTACTATCATAGTGCAATTAACTTGCAGTCCCTGCTATTACTATACTGACCGTAGTTACTGACTATCTTCCAAGCTACAACAGGCATGAAGTTAAACCGCTGATTTGAGCTACTATGCTTCAAGTATGTATGACATTAATGGTGGTGGTCATGTTCCCAACCAGTCCAGATTACAGCTGAGAGAGAGAGATGTGTCAAGGCATATACCTTGGATAGCTTCCGTTCTCCATGTTCATGCTGCAGAATGAATTGTAGTGTCAGCATGCAAGCTACACATATATGGAAAAAAAAACTGAACAGGAGCGATGTTGTTATTTGTAAAGCATATGCATAACCCTACTGATACCAAGAACAAATTAATTGCCAAATGTGCATGTATCGGGGGGTCCTTTACAGGCTAGAACTAGTTGAAATGGGAACTGAAATCACAGCACAGCAGGTTAATTGGTTAAGGACACCCCAGATGCGTAGCAGTTAACAACACATGGAGCTTCGTCGTTCATGCTTATCCTACTGGAAACCATGCATCGGCCGACACCAATCATCAAGAAGTTTGTGGTCCATGATCCAAACTTTGGCACTCAAGTGTCCGTCCACCTAGAATTCGTGCCCGGATGCTTAGTCCCAGAACTCAAAACTATTTGTTGCAGAAGAAGAAATCAGCAGCTGCCAGCACCATCTATCTGCTGAAATGTGCATCTAATCTACTACAGCTTGCAATTGGACAGTATGTATGGACAAGAAAGAAAAATAACAGTATTTTCCATCCACTGATTAACCACAGGTAGCTAGCTACCTACTGAGGCAAAATCCAAATCCAAGTAGCTGGAAATGGGGAAAGAGGGGGGAGATTGACCTTGCAATCGAACTTGCCCTTCCACTTGGCGGGGGAGGGGGGCGTGGAGTGGAACGACGCGGCGGCGCAGAGGTGGCTCCGCAGGCCGGGGAGGCCCTTGCCCCAGGAGGCGGCGGCCTGCATCGGAGGACGAATCTCTGTCGCGGAAGGGGGGAAATGGCGATCGGGGAGAGGAACGACGAGGATTTAGCTCCTCCTCCTTGGATTCGCCTCCGCCGCTGGAATTTTAGGCAAGAAAGGCCGCACCTTTCTTCCCTCCCCTCCGCCTCTCTCGCCGGCGACCGCTCTTTCTTTTCTTTTTTCTCCTACCCACGCACCTTTTTTTATTGGGTCCTAATCACCCAGAGCAGAGCACGCACCTGAGAGAGAATGTTGGACGGGCCAGATGGTAGGCCCATTAGGGAGTGGGTGCTGTAGATTAGGCCCCTCATTTCTTCTTTTATTTATTTATTAATTAATTCGTTGTCTTTACTCAAGAAAAAAAAAATCATTGACGAGCCGAATCGTGTGATGCGGCCAGAGATCGACCCCATCTCCAAAACAAGTGAGAAACCTATCCATGTTGTCGTCGTCGTCGTCGTCGAATAGCAACCTCCGTCCGGCCATTTATCCGAAGCCATGCCGTCTCTGCACGCGGAGCTGGTTCCGCTGGAACACGTTCGGTTTTGGGCATATCTCGACATGGAGCCTCCCATCCTCTCCATCCAATATCACTAAAAGGAAAGTTATATATGTTGCCTATTGGACACATGTAACAACATACACCAACGGATACTACGGCTCGATCCGCCTAGTTATGAGCATGACGTGATGAAATCTTCTTCCAAAATTATAACCGGCGAATGTTCGCCAGGAGGGCGACCCTAGCGAATGCCCTATACACCGTCCCACGCATTCCAACACATGGGGCAACACCACGTCGGATGGCTGGAGGCGTTCGCTGTCTGGCTTTTCCTGGCCAACTCTTTTTTTTCCTTTCTCCAAAAATGTGTAACACATTCGTTGTCTGGATTTTCCTGGCGAACTCTTGTTTTATTTTCTTTCAAAGATACATAACACCGGCACAGGGGAGGATTCGGATTCCCGACCTCTCGCGTCGAGCGTGGTACTCTAACCACTGGGCTCGAGAGCGGGCTTGCGAAAATTTCTCTTAAAATGTATATTTATATACAACATGGCATTTTTGAAGTTTTTCAATTCATCCCAAAAATAATATTTTTTAAAACTTTCTCACGGGGCAGTTTTATTTTAAGAGGATGACATTTTTTATTATAAGAGGGTGACATTTTTATTATTGAGAGGATGACAGTTGACAGTTTTTTTTTACCGATATTGTAGTTTTTACTAATAAGAGCATGTCCTTTTTATTATTGTGATGATGGCATTTTTTATCATTAAGACTATGGCGTTTTTAATAGTGAGAGGATGGCATCTTTTATTTTTAATGGCATAGCAGTTTTTATTAATAAGAGCGTGACAGTTTTTGTT